GGAGATCAAGAACGTGATGTGCTTTCAGAGCATGCATCTAAAATGCTTCTGTCCTCTCTCTCTAGCAATATGTCAGCCCAAGCACGTGAATTGGTGGAGCTAATGAGAAGCAGCTCGGTAAGTGGAACTTGGGCCACCCCTCAGTGCTTCTGTGGTCTCTGGGAGATGACTTTAATTGATGGGATGCTTGAGTAGTGAAGATGGAAGAAAAGTCAGCATCCTTGTCTGTGGTGTGCTTTCCAAGATGAGTGTGCCAGGGATTAGCCTTTAGGAGACTATAATTTACCTATACAAATCTATGCAGGTAAGCTGCAAACACACAAGGCAGAGAGTAATGTAGGGTGCGGTGCAGCCAAGAGTTGTAAGGATGGTAGCGAGGAAGAGGAGAGATCTGAAAACTCTGGGGAGATCACAGGACTGCTTAGTTGAGCAGCAGCATTCAAAGTGGCAGTCGTAAAGATCGAGTGTAAAATTGCTGGAGCAGGCACCTGGTGCCCAACATGAACTGCACTATTTACTCTTGGGTCTGGGAAATGGCAGTACTGGGAAGGGGGTCAGCTGAAGTCTGCCCAGGAGATTAAGCCCTCTAAAATTCTGGTTTGGAACAGGCAAGTGATTAATTGGTGGCCAGAAACCTCAGGGTTGGGTGAATCCCTGTCACGCCACAAGCTTTTAGGGAATTAGTAGGGGATCTAGCATTGTGGACCAGCCTGCTGTGCCAGCTCTACGGAGGGCTACAAAGGGCACCAAAAGGGCAACTCACTTTGAATTCAGTGGCTGCTGCTGCGGTTTGGGATGGGGGGAGGAAATCTGGGGGAAAACCAGGGCTGCCCTTCCTCAAGTGTTGGCTGAATTTGAATGGATGACTGTCTGGGTGTGAGCTGTTGGTTCAGGGAGAGCACCCTGTAAGGGAATGGGAGTGCCTGGTGCTCCTTGGCTTAGGCTGAATGGGAAAGGAAGGTACTGAATAAGCAGGATTTGTCAAAGCATGTGTCTCTCCGTGCCAGCACTCTTGATGGATGCTGCATGCTCGCCCCACTGTCAGTTACTCTGCACTACCAATTGTTTGGCAGAGTGAAGAGAGCTGGCGTGGCTCTTCAATAAAATAGTATGTGGCTCTAAAGCTTTGTTTTATTCACTGCTTTTTATGCACCGTTTAAAAGGGGAGGGGGGAAGTCCCTGCCACACTTTGCCTCTTCATGAAAGGCTTTTCGAGCAAAGTGCTGGTTAAGGAGGAGAATTCAGACCTGTGGGTGATTCCTAGGCCCTCCCTCTATTTGTGGGGTCCTTTCGCAGATGTTTGTTATGTAAACGCACCATGCTAAAAATAGTTGCCTTTGATTCCTTTCTTTGTACTGAACGTTACAAAATGTTTTTATGAGATCCAGCTCTCAGCAGCGCCTATTGTTAGCTTGCGGTGACGTGGATGCTGCAGCTGCCCTTACATGAGCTCAGTGAAGTCACCAACCTCCTGGACTCTTCTATTTTAATCCAGCTGTCTGTTCCCTGGGGCACCCCTCGTCCCTCCTGGTCGTGGGGTAATACTTTCCCAGCTGGCAGGGATCCCCAGCAGCTCCAGTTCCACAGCTTCATGAGTCACTCCAGCATCCACTCCCACGCTGCTTTGTCCCCATGCTGCCTGCAGTGTTCAGCCACGGCTGGCAAATCTCTCCTGTCCATCCCTATACTGAAGCTAACAGTCACTTAGGGACGCTTGCTGCCACAGACACATTTCCATGCTCGGCTACCCTGACAGATCTTGTCTGCTGAAGGGAATTTCCTTGCAAAAGCCGAGGTAAATTGCAGCTAGACTAGCAAACAGTTGACATTTTCCCCCTGGACAGATGCGTTTCTTTTGCCAACTTAACTCAGCATGCCTCCTTTCTCTGTTCTGCCACGTTGCCTGTACCCCGGTTTAGCCCCATTTGTGAATATTACCTCTGCATGCCTAAGCAATGGACGCTGCAATCCATTTATTTTATGTGCCACTAGAAAATTAACTTCAAGCAAGACTGGAAGCTGATCACTGTCTTTATTGGAGGCAACGACCTATGCCAGTACTGCTTGGACAAGGTTTGTATCTCTGAATTAGGCATGCTTATCCAGGCACTTGGCAGGTGACCAGCCCTGGAATTATAACCTTTCTCTCTGTGAGCCAAAGTTCCTCTTTGTTTAAAAAGCACTTAGAAGTCCTGTTCCTTTCATCTGTATTGTATTAGAAACAAGTGCACAGCTTTTAATATCGGGGCACTGCAGCTCTAGAGTAATGCATTATTTAAGAACCAAGGAGCCTTCCCCACATTGAACAAAACACCAAAGGATAAACTGAAGAGCTCTCCCAGCTTAACTGGACAAAGCAATCAAGACAGCATGGTGTCTTAGGCATGTTGTTATGGGGACACAAGTGAAGTTTTATTCTGGAAAGTGTCTCTATGCAATAATAACTGAGGATGCCTGATTCTTGCTTCAGAATGACACCAAAAGAAACAACATCAGTTTATAGTGAAAAAGATGTCTTTTATCTAGCTGTCAGTGGTCATCCCCTCTGAAAAGGTTCCTGTAGCGCAGACTGGGGGTCTGGACCCCAGGTTGTTGAAATGACCGGGGACTGTTCTCTCAATTTTGCTCTTTTTCCTTTAGAGGCTGCTGCGTGGAGCCTTCACCCCGACAGCTTCACCTCTATAACTACAGTCACAAAGTTATTTTGTCTGTGGGTTTTGTGAGGCCTGACTGCCTCCACATCAATTTCCCCAGATTGGCAGTTTAAAAAAATAAAAAGTATTGCTCTGTTCATAAGGCAAACTTGTCTGGTCTGGGCCCCATAAAAGACAACATGGAATCTAAAAACGTGATTTATGTAGTCATTCATCAGGCAAAGACTCTGCCAAGAACTGTTACGTACCTCCAGATTTTCTACAGAGATTAAGGGAATATATTAGCGACATAGAAACGCAAGCACTATATAACCTGTGTACATGCGGCAGTAAACCTCTTGATCTGAAAATATATCTGCCAATAAAGGCAAAACCCAGCATCGAGTCAGTGTATCTTCTCATGGACCACCTTGCAACTAGAGAGTCTGTGGAGTCCTTTGTTCAGGCGAAACATTTAAACTACTTCGTTCCTGAAAGAAGACTGATCCAAATTTTTTTTTTTCCTCTTAATTACATAGGAAACCTATTCAGTGCAAAAGTATGTAAAACACCTTCAGGACACTCTGGATATTTTCTATGAGGAGGTAAGCTTTTAAGATAAGCTAGCAAGCTGTGTTCCTGGCAAGCACACCAATGTTTTCTCACCTCTGACAGACTGTCAGTGATTGTTTCGTACAAGGTCATCTTCCAAACAGTGGGAGTCAGACCGCTCCTCAACGCTGCATTTCAACAACTGTATTAGATAATGCCCTGAGAAAGTGGGCTGCAGTTTTAGGAAAACTGCGTGTTTCACAGTATCTTTTGCTGTGGACCAAACATAGTAAGACCCTACTGCCAGTTTTGTTGGGTAAACCAACTGGACAAAGTTTCACTTACCCTAGAGAAAATGGAAATGCCCCAGGGAGTGAAATGGTGTTTCAGCCAGTTTGTACTAGCTGCCGGACTTTTTTTTGGCTGACATCCACTGTACGTCTCCCTCCCCCTGCCTTTATCCATCATCTTTGCACATGCCGTTGGTTGCAGTCGGTGCAGTTTGCACTGACTCCCTGACCTACGAGTGGCACTTCTTTCTCACTTTGTAGTGGTATCATGTTCTGTGACTTGGTATGTCTGGTTATGATAATCCCTGCAGCTCCCAAGAGTCTTTGTCAACATGGTGGAGATACTAGAGATTTCTGGACTGCGTCAGATTGCAGCAAGCTCTTCAGGGTGCGCTTTGACAGCAAAGTAAGTGAGCAAAACAGGTCTTTGCCTTTAAAGTGCTATTTTTTTTGACTCAGTCTAAATTCAGACATCCACACTGAACTTTCCAAGCTACTTTCATTGCAGCCTTTCCCTGATGTACTAGTTCCCATCAAATTCCTATTACTTCTTCCAATACTTGAGCTAAAAAGCATGTGCATCTAGATAGCAGGGTTGTCACTTTTCTTCTGAGCTCTAAAGCAGCATGTCACAGCACAAATCCGTATGTAATTGGCACACTACTGAACTTCGCAGGCTTTTTCACCCAGCCTTTCACTGGTCAGCACAGGCTGACATCCCTGACGCCTCTCCGTGTATTCATGCTGCATTACCTGCGGTGCAGGCTGGGCTGCAGACAGCAGACTGCGGAAGCGGGAACTGCTTTTCACACCTAATGGAGGAGACCAAAATCCATACTCAAAGATGACTGAGGGACTTGTTTTAGAAAGCAGCAGTGACTTTACAAGAGTCAGTACGGATATGAAAAGGCTCTTTAGCAGAGAAAGGTATAACAAAGACCAGTGGTTGGAAGCCGATGCATAACAAATTCAAATGAAGTTGGGCACAGATTTTTAGTAATAGAAGCGGTTAACTACTGGACCACACTAGAAGGGAAGATAACGAATTGACTGTCTTGCTTGATGTCTTCATATTCATTCCAAGCACATTCTTAAAGGATGCATTTTAGTGAAGCACAAGTTATTACCTCTTGATATGGAGGTAACAGAATAAAACACAGTGGTTTAAGGAGTCAGACTAAATGAGCAATTTGTCTTTTCTACCTTTAAACTCCCAGATTTCTGAAAATCTGCTCTAAGCCTATATGGAGTGTTTAGGTTTTTTTATTCTGTGTGATTTCCTGCTAACGCGTGGCATATTAAATGCTTTTGTGTTTGACTCGAGTTGTGGATCCTGCAGCTCTTACCAGCTGTGACAGGTGTCCACTTTGAAAACTAAGTCAGTAGGGATTTTTTTTGGTGAAGTATCTGTCCATTTCCAAGCTAGCGACGTGGCTCTCCTTCTGCATGTGAGCTTTGAGCACCTATCCTGAACTCCTTGAAGCAGACACACGTTGCTGAAGAATTGCATAGGCTATTCTAAATTGGCTTTTAATTCTAGTATTTCTTTCCCTGAAGGAATGTTTGCCCATGTTTCTTAAACCCTGAGGAAAATTCTTCTGAACTACAAGAGATTAAGAGAGTTAACAGAGATTTTCAGGTAATACCTGTAGTGTAGCTGTAAAGATCTGATATAACTGGTCAACTTCACTTGTCTCTTTTTATGTGGCTTCTCTCACTGCCCTTCCTCTCATGCTTATCCTCAGCAGGACAGAAAGGGATGACTGGGAAACAGCTTGACTACAGTCTAATTAAAACCCTACCCAGCTAACCAGTTAGCAGCAGTGCAAGTTTTTCCACACTGCCCTGGGATTTGACCTCGGTTCTGAGCTGGAGGCAGATCGACACTCATTCTGTTTCCAGCTGCTGTTTCAACAGCTGAAAAGGAGTTACTGATGATGGCTGTTTTGTTGATACGTGTTTGTCCGCTATGAATCCAATGAATAGCTCACATGAATTAACACGTCACCGCAAGGGTGACAAATTACCTTGCATCAGCTGTTTTGTGGTAACTCCTAGCAAAAAAAGTGAACTAAACCAACCTGATACTCCTTTCTTTTGCCACAGGCTGAGAGCGTGCACACAGATAGCTTACCGTGGGCAACCTGCTATCTGAGAATAATTTTTTCATAGCCTTGGGCATAAGATTCACTCAAAATTAACAAAGGATATAAATAGCCATTGGAGCAGAAGCTTTTTCCATCATTATTCTTATGAACACAGGAATAACTGTATCAGATCATATTATGTTCTCCAGTGCTCTGCTCTGGCAGTGGATGTTGTCTAATGAATCTGACAAAGCTCAAAAAATCCATCTTGGAAAATACTCGTATAAATCTACTAGAGGGGACATTTTCCTTAACTAAGGAAGTGGGATCAGGAATCTTTTGAGATATGACGAGAAGCATTACAGTTTATACCCATAAGCTGGCAAGTAACAATAAGATGTTGTTATTATCTGTATGAATGTCTGTGGCTGTGGTTTTCAAAAGTGGCAGGTAATTTTTCAATGCTTAAGTTTTATTTTACTCCAAGCATGCCTTTCTGAAAAATCAAGCAGACTTCAGTTTCAAGTTGGAATTCTGAAGTAATTTGTCACTTCTAAAAATTTTGGCCTTATTCCTTTTTTTTTAATTCTCTGTAAATTTTAATCTCATTGCAATTGTGCAGCATTAATTTCTATTAGTAAGGTACGAACTACTTTTTTTTTTTTTTTTATTAAGCAACTTTACATTTCAAATTATCCTAGTTTCTGTGCATTTTCCTCATGAAAATCTCTTCATTACATGAACCAAATTATTTTCTTAGCTGTTTTCTGGACCGCTTTATACTATTCAGCTGGATGTAAATCAAATTCAGCTGGATGTAAATTAAAAAGTAATAATTTATGGCTTCTTATGTTGAAAGAAGTGTAATATGCATGTTTTTGATAGCTGATAAATGTTAGATGAACCTTGTAAGTAACTCTTCTGTTTCCAATCATTAAACTCCATACAGGCTGAAGCCTTACAGCTGATCAACAGCGGTCGGTACGAAAAGCGTGAGGACTTTGCAGTTGTCATGCAGCCGTTTTTCCGAAACACATTGGTGCCCCTGAATAGTGTGAGTCCTGTTTTTCTTTCCCATTATGCAAGGACCAGTATCTCGATTTCTCTAAGTCAGTAAGATCCATACCACAAGGACTGTGTTTTCTTCTCTTTGCACAGTCTAGCAGCAGAGGGTGGAACGTGCGATAAGAGTGACAGAGGAGAAGACAGGAAAGACGGTGCTGCCTGTGAATCAAAATGGTTTTAGGAGACATTCGTAGTGTGCACATATTAAACCTAAGCACCCTCTGGCTTCCTCTAAATTGCATGTTGCTTCCCCTGTTAGGGGCTTGGTTGGTATTCATGCCAATTTTCTTCTGATCTAGGTTACGGAATATGTTCAGGTTTCCTTCATACAGAGACCAGCACTTGCCTGCCTGGCTCATCCCAGCCTGGAAACAGGCAGCTGCCTTTGAAGCCAAACACTGATTCTCCTTCTTTTCTCCAGCCTTAGCATTATGTATGCTGTGTAGTTAGGGATACAAATATTCAACATGAATCCTGGTCAAAACCACCCAGTTTTGCATAATACTGATCCTCTTGTCATATGATCCCCATTTTGTTCTGGTACCCTTCAAGTCCAAAGAATGGCCGCCATACAGGTAGTGATGAGGCAAATTCTCTCTGAGACAGATATTTGACACAGCTGGATAAGCCCACAATTTTTAATGTTGCCTGAAATTCAGCACAAATTTCAACACCTGAAAGGTGATAAGTCTGAGTTATGGAAGTTTAACAAGCAAGAATAAGCAGGTTTTCTATCAGTCTGCCCAAGGCAGGGTGTTGGTCAATGGCAGTGTCCATGTAAGAGCTGTGACTGTGGGCTTAACGATAACTTTTGGTTTATTATGAAAATGGCTGTGTGAAGTTGAGCAGGCTGCATTACACAGAAAGTCTCAAGATGCAGTGATCAGCCTACAGTTAGCAGTACTTAAGTTTATTTGCAGTGTCAAAATATTGAGCATATTGCCTTTAGGAAGATACCAAAATTGTGAAGTGGATATGCCAAGTACGATACACTATTAGATATACTATATCAGAACTCAAAGGTTAAAATGTCCTGAGAAATATGTTTTTGCTTTTATCGCAGAACAACAAGCCGGATCTGAGTTTCTTTGCTACAGACTGCTTTCACTTCAGTGCAAGAGGCTATGCTGAGATGGCCACGGCTCTCTGGAATAATATGGTAAGAGGTTACAACCTAGATCCGTATGTGTTTGTGGCAGCAGTCCCTAAAAAACATCATGAGAAATGTGTTTGAAACAAAACAGTAAGCAAGAAATAAAATTGATATCTCAGGACAAGAGGAAATAGCCTCAAGTTGCACCAGGGGAGGTTTAGATTGGAAAAATTTCTTCACCAACCTAAATGATTCTATGTTTCTAAGAGGGGGGCTGCTCAAGTCTGAGACCCTTCTCAGTTTGCATTGCTTAGGAACACAATCCAAAGGGATCATCTTGTGTAAGTCACTGCTCATTCAAAATGAGGAATCCTGAGATTTTTAATGTAACGAAAAATTCCCTTCTGATTTGGTAGATAACTTGCATTAAAGCAAAAATTCAGCCTAGTTAAACATTCAGTCCTGTAGGTTTCCTGAAAATGTCTGTTGAATGAGCTTGCCCTTCTTCAGCAAATTCTGTTAGATTTATTAGGAAAACATACGTGATTGAATTTTTGCTGCCATTAATAGCATGGACATGTTGTACCACCCACTCCAGTATCTGAGGCAATTCTAGTAGAGTCACTGAAATCAATGGGGGGCTGAAATCACACCTATGATGTCTCTGCTTGCATTCCTTCTGTCATTTGGGGCGAAATGGTACCTTTTGATTAGTGCTGGAACAGTGTGTAAGAGCTGGACTTGATAACTGCAAAGTCACAGTTGCTTTCAGTACTGTGATGTTTCCCATGTTGGAAGGAAGACTATAGTATTTTCATGCCACAGCAACATTTCCTCCTCTTGTCTCATAAACACCAGTACCCAAACACATTGTGCTAGCAGAAACCTTAGTTTGTAGAAGAAACAAGCATAAATCGAGGGGAATTTCTTTTCCTTTTAAGTAGAAACTTGAGCAAGATAAGAAACTTACAGGATACTCCTGAATGAACTTTAGCATAAGGATTGGGAAATGCAGGGCAGAAATCTGTGCAGCTGCCCAGTATAGCATATAAACTGTAGGTCCTGGGTTATAGAAAGCAGCAGACACACAGTGCATGCACATGCTCTGAGTAATTGATTTGTGCATGCGCAGCAAATCTGCCTGTTTTCTGTCAGGCTTCCCTGTCTGGGACTCCAGATGACAGCAGTCTGGTAGGCTTCATCGTGCTTCATAGCTCAAACAGGCCTAATGGTGACCCAGAAACCCCAGGCAAATGTAGAAAAACATTCAACTTGAGCATGACTGCGGGTTTGAAGAAGAAGAGACAGTACCTGGACATATGGTAGCCTTAAATTGGGTTTCTGTTGCCACGTGGTGTTCCTATTGGCCATTACTTATTCCTGAATCACCATCAGTTCTTTTTCTATGCCACTGGAGTTTTATTCTGTCCAGACTGTCATTCTTTTCCTACACACGTAAGGATATTGACACAAAGCTTTCTACTGGGGTGGTGGGGATCAGGTTCTTACTGATGCGAAGCACAACTATTCCCTTCCGCAGAGATCTGTCAGTCTATGCCAAGTGAAGATTTTACTGTTTACTCTTTAAATCTAGTTCTTGTAACACATCCCTGCTTTTCACTCGCAGTCCATGTACGGCGAGGCTGTGCAAGCTTACTGTAAGGCCGTATTGTTTCCCTGTTCCCTGAAAAGCTCAGCAGGCTGTAGGCTTACGGCCAAATGACATGGATTCTTGTCAGTACACATAAAGGGCCAGACTGTGCCTGGCCGCTGCGTGGGTATGCAGGGACGGGGACGGCTTAAGGAGCTTCTCTCTCACCATAATGTTCTTTGCCCTTTATGCTTCATGCAAAGCAAAGCATGCTCCTTCTCTCTGAAGTCAGAGGACTCTGTAGTCTTAAGGGGCCCCCACTGTTCCCAAAACCTGCTCATCAGTCCTCTGGCCCAGGAGAAGAGCACACAGACAGTGTGTTTAGCTTGTGTTCTTCCCCCATGTTTGCCACATGCTTTGGAGGAGCTGCGTGTTTCTTCTGGAAGTTGTCCCGTACGCTCGTGGACTTGGGGATACTGTCATCTTCAAAGCTCAGAAGTTAATGCTCCTGAGGAACAGATTGCATAGGGATGGAGCAAGCATGGCTGGCTACAGAATTTTGCACCTTATCATCCTTTGTCTGGGCTCTGCGCCAGACTCCTTACCCAGTGCCCTGGCACAGGGAGTGTTACAATTATCTACAAATAACCAGCCGTACTGCAGACAGGATGCTACAGGATGTGAGCCACACATCTTAGAAATAACAACATCAGAATTTGAGCTGTTCCCTTTAAGATGCAACAAAACTACCAAATTCTGTCTTCACAACATCAGCTGGAGGGCAGACCAAGTGATAAGGACTTTTGTATGAGTCCAGCAGGACCCCACAACAACCAGCAAAACTTGGCATTCTGTTTTGCTTCTCATCTTCTCTCCGCTTGCTAGCTTTCTTCTCTTCCCCAGGCACATTTTGCTGTGGTTCATCTCTCTATATACATTTTTCAGTCTCTATTTCATTTTTTTTTAATTTTTTTCTTTTTTTAAAACTGAAATAGAGAAAGTATTCCCAGTGTTTCCCTATGGGAATCTTATGAATAGAATTTGTCTTCTCTGTGTTGTGTTGGGCTTGTTATGGTATTGTTTCTTTTCCAGCATACAGCTGACACTTTAATCACTTGAGGACAGTAAACGCACATATGGACAACAGCAGAAGCAACAGCATTCCTCTGTGCTGTATTCCCAGAAGTGCTGGATGACAGCTCTGCGGTTCTCTATGGGCCAGTCCTGAAGTCATGACTTTAGGCATGCCCATACACAGTTGTAAACACTTCAGTTAACATGACTGAGCAAGCCTCTACTCGTTAGTTTAACTATGGTAACCGATGGTATGTACACTCCTAGCCAACCACAAACACTATGCCATTAGCCTGGACATACTTCGTGTTGAGTTTGAAAGGGACTCGAGTGAGCCTGTGGTCAGCATTGCAACTTAGCTGACAACTGATAATATAAAAGGCTCTATTTAACTCACTTCTTGCAATCTTGTGAACTAAAGCTAAAATTCCCAGGGAATTTCTTGTCCAAGTGAAGACTGTAAAGGTTGGCACCATCTCATCCGGTCTCTGTAACTCTACATCATTTTTGAAGTCACTTCCACCACTGTGACACCTAAGCATCTTTCAGTAACGTGCTAAGTAACATGACTAACATCTGCCATGTGGGGTTTTTTTCTTTGTGGTTTATACTGTCATTTGAGATGTGTACGTGGGAGAACTGGGTATATAGTGAACCACTTTGTTTTAGCAGAATATTAAAGTATGTGGTATTTAGAGTGATTTTCTCCACCACCGAGTACTAAAGGAAGAAAGGCTTGTCCTGTTCCTTGCTTCCTGAGGGAGTTTTTCTGCAGACAGTACATCAGATTCTCAAGGTCTTTAGCTCATGAGTGTTAAAATGTTTGGAAACTTTCCTGTGATGCACCTTCTACCACATTTCTTCATTGTTGCAGCCACCAAAAGATTGGATAAAGTGTTGTAACTAATCAAGTCAGGAGAATCTAAGGAGGAAAAAAGTCATCATTATGTTTACTATTGTTTTTCTCTTCTTCAGCTGGAGCGAGTTGGTGAAAAGCAGACTTATAACAACTTTACACATGACAGATCAAAACTCAAGTGTCCAAACCCAGTAAGTAAAGACCAAGATACCCATACTCTCCATTAATTACTTTTATTTTTCTCCTCTCTTCTTATTGGTAAAGTTCTTTAAAAGAATATCTTTGTGAAGGCTTTAAATAGCTAAAATATACCCCTGTTTTGTTACACACTGAAAAAGCTACTTAAGATTTAAAGCAAAAAAAAATTACCCTCACTGTAGTGGAAAGCCTCTCATTTAAGCCAGTTTTAATGCATCTATGTATTTCTGTTTGCCTGTCTGTAGCGAACAAATTTGGAAATGATGACATCACTCCTGATTCTGAGATGGCTCCTTTTTTTGTTCTAGGAACTTTCAGTCAATAGAGCAGGAAAGAGCTTGGGCTAAGATAGACAGAAGGCAGAAACAGCTGATAGTCTGTCTAAAGACTTGACAGCTCCTCTCTGGGAAAGGGCGATGGCATATTGTCTGAACGCTGCCTGTTGAGTGGTCTGTGTTCGGTAAAACCTTTGCTCTCCCTTTGTAGGAGAAACCCTTTCTTTCCACGCTGAGAAATAGTGGATTCCGAAATTCAGATCTCAACTTGGAGAAAACCGAACCGTCAGTCCCCTACTGGGCTGTCATTGTGGCTGCAGTAGCTGGAGTCCTGGTGGGTTCTTTACTCATCTGGATTGTGTCAGGAAGAAGAGCCAAGAGGCACCGACATGAGGTTGACACAGAAAAGAACATTAAAACAACACCTCTGTAAAGCAAGTGGAACAAACACCTTTCTCTGCTGAGGCTGCTCTCTGGTGTGACGCAGAAAGCAGCAGAATAAAAACCACTGTTGGATATGAATGAAGCTTCTTGGTTACCCAGGGATTTTTGGGCGCAATAATCTTGATCAGAAATGTACAGTAGAGTTAGCTTCTGCAGATCAGTCAAGTGGAGGATGAAGTTCAAAGTGTTAAAGCTTTTTCATCCCGGGATGCAATTCTCTGTTTCATGAATATAACTCAGGATGTCAATTGCTTGCATGAAGTGAGAATACTTGTTCAAGCATCTTGGCACCTTAATTGTGCATCTGCCCTTTTTTCTCATAAAGCTGTATATAAAATGTTAGACACAAGTCCATGATTGCAACTTGGTATTCCCTAATAGCAAGGTAAGTGAGATAAAAAAAGAAAAGCTGCAAATTCACATGTTAGATTCCAGCAAGACCATTGAGTTGAAAGTGCTAAGGTGACTCTACACAGGCAAGTACAATGCCATGGAAACATCTTTAAGTCAAGTTCTGAGTAACCTGGACCATCCATGTGGCATCCCTGGTGCAGTGCTGGGCAGCACAGCTAGAAGAACTGCACTTCCTCCACTGCCTTGGACTCCAGACTCCATCCGTCTGGGACTGGGTGTGGAGCTGGGCCATGCACATCACTTCTCCAGGGCCAAACAGCCTGGAGGGCAGTCCTATACCCTCCTGCCCACCGCTGTACAGCAGCTGGTGCCAGAATGACTCTTCCTGTGAAGAAGGAATTTCTTCACTAGGATGCTGTAGGGGAGCTAAACCAAACTGAGGTACCTGATTGGCGAACTAGCCTGGCTGAACCCTTCTCATAGGACCTGGGGTGTGTTCAGATCTCCTAGGCTGGAGTCTCTGTGGCTGTTCTCCAAGGAAGAATTCACAAAGTTTTTTTTAAAATTCTGATCAGGAGTTCAGAGGAGATCTTTCCTGGAAATTAGACATTCCTTCCTTTACACTTGCAGGTCAATTCATACAATCTACTAATACAGAAGATACTCCACACAGGTTCCATTGTTTTCCAATATCTTTCTTATTTCCTGTGTCAGATACTTTACATTTTGATTTTATTGAGGCCAAAGTGTGGTTTGCACTGGTATGATTTTTTCTTTTTTTTCTTTTTTTTTCTTGTGTGGTGTCCTCAAAAGCTACATTTCAACTCCAGAAACTCAAATGACCAGAAAATTAAAATGTTTCAGAGAAGAAACTGTTCTGGCATTCCTAAATCTACTCATTATGCACACAGGAGGTATTCAGAGTCCTCCTTTTTCCATTTCATTCCTGTCATTGTCCTTGCTAAGATAGAAAGAGTCAGGTAAAATACAAGTCATATAGTTGGGTTTCCAGGGCTGTAGCTCTACTCACCTCTCCTTTGATCTGCTCTCAAAGGTTGGGCTATTACTGGTAGGACTTTCATTTGCCTAAATCTTATTCACAGATGGGTGTCTGGGAGCTCTACATGCAGCCCCAAATGGGGATATATTTGGAATGCAAAACAGAAGCACCTGCATCTTGTTTCAGCGCAGCGCAGGCTGCTCTTCCTGTCCCCGTCATCGCTGTGGGTCATTAACTATCTACACGATATCCCAACTGCTGATGTTTGTTTAGCTCGGTAAATGGAAGCAAACACAGCCTCAAACCTGCAATGCAGGAGGCAAGATTTACTGTATTCCAGTCCACTCCATGGCAACTTCACCTCAGACACACTGGAAAATACAAGCCTCACAAGTGAGGAACCTGAGCCAATATCCCAGTGGATCATGAATGCTACTGTCTCCTGTCATCCCTAAATGTGGTTCTTGAATCCTCTTCCCTCCTGAGAGCTTGGATAGCCACTGCTTATACAGCTCTTGGCTTGGGGAAGAGTAAAAAGATAAGTTCTCTGCAGAACCTTTCATCAGGACTAGGCATTTCCAAGGAAACTCCAAACAGTAGTTCATAGGATCATAGAATCATTATGGTTGGAAAAGACCTCAAAGATCATCAAGTCCAACCGTATACCTGATGCCACCATGGCTACTAAACCATGTCTTGAAGTACCACATCTAAACATTTTTTGAACACCTCCAGGGACAATGACTCCACCACCTCCCTGGGGAGCCTGTTCCAATGCCTAACAACTCTAACAGTGAAGAAGTTCTTCCTAATGTCAAGCCTGAACCTCCCCTGGCGCAGCTTGAGACCGTTCCCTTTTGTCCTATCGCTAATTACTAGGGAGAAGAGCCCAACCCCCACCTCACTACAACCTCCTTTCAGGTAGTTGTAGAGGGCGATCAGGTCTCCCCTCAGCCTCCTCTTCTCCAGACTAAACAACCCCAGCTCCCTCAGCCGCTCCTCGTAAGGCTTTTTCTCCAGGCCCTTCACCAGCTTCGTTGCCCAGTTGTTGTCGTTCAGTGCTGATTTACCTTTCTAAATTATGTGTGCTTGCAGGAAGTGAGGTGGGGCTCCTACAGCATGAGTTAGAGCTACAAAATACTGCAGTTTCTCACATCAGCTTTGTCCTGCCTAGAGATGGCTGCAAGTGCATCTTGGGTTTCACACCAGTGCCCCCTGCTAGACTAACTAGACATCTTCTTTCCTCACTTAGAAAGCTAAATTTTGTTCTGAGCTTCTGAAAGCCAAAACATAGGAGGCACAGCCAGATGGGAAGTGAGGGGAAAGATGGCTCTTAAGCTCTTCCACCATCCTGAAGGATTCTACAGCAGAAATAATTCTTGTGCAAGAGCCCAGGTGACTCTGCTTTGGATTGCAGATCCTCAGTTCCATGCAGCATTCAGCTCTGTAGGGAGTGCTGCCTTTACTGATGCTTTTGGGAACTGAGAAACCATCAAGCTTAAATTAAATTGGTTCTGTGCTGCTTCTGCAACAGGAGACTTTCCCCCTTGTTTCTGTAGCTGTGGTGTAGCTCTAATGCACTACTACAGCAGGAGCACATAGGAGATGGAGCAGGAATTGGTGGGCTTCTTATTTAGTCTGTGGAAGTATCTTCTGGCATCTTTCTTGTCTAGACTGAAGTATGTGATGAATTGCACTGACATTTAAAAAAAACCATCAAGAATCATTCACTTTGCAGCTGCTCCACAAACAAAATTATTTCCTTGAAGATATTACTGCTGAGCATTCCCTCTGTGCTCATTAAGCAGAGGTAATGTTAAGCTGGAGTGAATGACAAATGATTAGGTCTGGATCTTAGTCTGGCTGCATTCAGTGTCACATTAAATCAGAAAGAAATCCATGCACCCTGTCTGTCAGTTGCCCATTCCCACTTTTTTCTAATAATATGCCCTTGGTTTCAAATGCCCTTATGGCATCTCCCGGATTGCCTACTGATGCACAAAAGAAGAGAGGCTTTGGAGGAACTACAAGTCTATACGGAAAAATGCATGAAATGGATGCCCTCTTAGCCCAGGATTTTGCTTTGGCCAATGGTGGTCTCTCCCACCATGGAAAAGCACCTCTTCTCTGTAAAGTGGTTTCCAAACGTCCTGAGAAAACAGGCTTTATGAATTCTTCCTCTGGAGAAGACCTACAGCTCAGACTACATGAACAATCCCTGTTCAAAGGACCTTTGTGGGTACTGGCCTTGCTGCCCAGCTCAGGTTGTTGTGAATGGTGTTGGGAGGAAGTGTTACGCTGCTGCCTGGTCTTGAGAAGTAATTTGTTCTTCAAACAGGGAAGCGATGGAGCCTGACAAGAGTTGGCAAATTGTTTGTCTACAGCTTTGGCAGCAGCCAAGTTCAAGTTCTGGCCTCCTCTGTTGCTGCTGATGGACCTCCTTCCCATCATGGTACAGTGTCTGTGTTTTGCTTTGTAAGGTCAAATGGCACAAGAGAGTTTCATCTAGGGCCAGTTTGTCCCAAAGTCCTCTTTACTCAGTGAACTTAGGGAAGAGAGGAAAAATTCAGAAAAACATCTGCACAGAAGAATTTTCTGTGGCTTTGGAGATTGCTAAGTGTCTTCTCCCACCAGCTTCTAGATAGTGAGATGCAGATGTAGTGACGACAAATGATGTCATTTTAACAGCTCGTCAGTACATTATAGGTTGGGATATCTGGGCAAGAATTTTATTGCTTTGAGGGTTATTTAGCTAAAATGTTGAGGTGAAACAACCCCACCCCAAAGAGAAGGGTATGGAAAAGCCCTGGATTTTTGCAACTCTGTGTTTGCGTAATTCATGTTCCCTGTGGTATTCAGAGAATTTGCTGTTGGACAACAGGTTTGCAATGCTTGTTCTTTTTTATCTTTTTTTTTAGAAGGACGGCAACCGAGATTTGGGGAAAAGCAAGGCAAAGTCTATCCATAAAGTAGTTCACAAATTACTTAAATGAAACAAGTTTTCTGGGTATCATAAATCTCTGAGCACGACAGGGAGGGATGCTGCTGAGCACTATTGTGTTAAAACTATTTCTGTCCCGAGTATGCAGTTTGCTCATCCAGGGGCCTCAGAAACATTTCTAGCACCAGGAGTCTATATCCAAAAAAGGGGGTGGTGGAAGAGGGGAAAGAGGCTGGCACATTTTAACTTAGCACACGCTGAGTATTTTCCATTTAACTGTCAGCAACTGTCCTCGCCACCACTTAGCTTTTGAGGACACCAGATATTGCACCATCTTTCACCCATTGAATTCCTTTCTGAGTTCAGTAGATTTCTTTTATGTGTTTTGAAACCCAACACTATCAACACACACCTGACTGGGTGGGGAAGATTATCAATGTTACCTGCTTTTGATGAGCGTCCTAGCGCACAGCAAAAATTGTTCTGTTTTTGACCATCAGAGAGAACAATTCCCCAAGGGAAAAGACATAAAAACCCAGGGGTTGAGCAATTTTAGAAAACAAATCCAACGAAACGCAGGAGAGCATATTTAAGGAGTGGTTGGAACTACTCCCTGGCTAGAGGCTGGAAGAAGTTCCCTTATGTCTTTCCATTTCTCTGACCTATGTAACTGTCACTCAAAATGCAGTCATAA